CACCTTCTAGTGTTTTTGGGAGGGGGCTGTGGTACTTCAGGGTACAGGCTATTCCCCACCAGGGCTGGAGGGTGAGTGGTGCTCCAGGGTGCGGGGTCTTCCCCACCCTCAGGGATGGGGGGCTGAGAGCAGCCGGGGCACTGCCAGGGTGTGGGGCATTTCCTCCACCCCCGAGGCCGGGGGTCGGCAGGCTGAAATTGAGGCACCTCCGAGGGGCGGGATGCTCCCCCGTCCCCAGGGCTGACATGGACTAAGGGGGGCTGAGGCAGTGCGGAGATTGTTCAGTCCTTTCTGTGCCCCCTCAGCAGCAACAGGCACTTGGTCTGGAGCAGGAGCGTTCGGTGGTGGTTGCCATAGACAAGAGGCTTTCAGTCTCCCTCCCTTTGTAGCGGCGTAATAATTTTTGGAGAAAGAGTTTTCCTTCTGCCCCTCTGCAAGCTCAGTAACTAAGGGAGAAACACTGGTGTCCCTGTGGTCTCCACGTAGAGGTGTACCGCGGCTGAGAGCTTAGGTGGCTGTTCCCAAGCCTGTGTTAGTGGTTTTCCGCTAACCCACGTACATGTGTGTGTGCATCACGCTGGGACAGAGCCCTGCTTTCAGCGTCTATGTGCTGGGCCTCATCTTTCCGAGCATTGTTACTGCAGTTCCTTTCAAAAGCTAAGAATGGGGCACAGATACATGGTTTTTTTTTCACCATTCTGCTTTCAGGTGAGGACTAATCTTCCTAGGAAGCTGAGCACCCTTGTTGACACAGGGGCAGTAGATGCATCTTATCTCTACCTCACTTCCCAGATCATAGAAGGAACCAGTGTTGTCTTCTGAGATTGCATAATCGCACTCATTTTGTTTGTTTTTTTTGGGGGGGTTTGCCTTTCCCCGAAGGAAATGAGACATCTGCTCGGTTTGGGTGCTGTTTTCCACTTCCACGCAGGACGCTCCATCAGTGTCACTAGCTCGGTGGGGCTGCACTTTTTTTGGTTAAAGAGTGGCAGAAGTCACGCAGGGGGAACGTTTCCTCACGTGATATTATAGGGGAGGTTTGACTTGGTGTGCCTTGTGCGATAGGTGTGTAAACACGGCAGTGACCTACTGGGGCTTATTTATCTGTTGCCCTTGGAGCAGATAGGGATCGTTGCACTTGGAGTATTGTCTAATTCTGAATATGCAGGAATACGACTCCAGGCAATTGCCCTGAAGGGGCCTTTTTGATGTTCTCTGAGATCCTGTCAGCTGATAGCTGCTTAAATGTGCACGTATCCAGCAGGATTATCGGCAGGATGGTCTGTGCCACTGAAACCAGGCTTTTTAGCTGAACTGGCGATGAGCGCTCAGCGTGCGGGCTGGAGCCCAGGTTGGAGAAATGTCTGTTTCATGGGCTGAGTCCCGTTTAGTGTCCCTGTTGTTCTGCTGTAGCAAAGTTAGGGCTGAGCAGTGGGCACTGCTGCCCGAGCTGGAGCTGGTCCACCCAAGCCACTGCTGGCCTGAGAAAAGGAAAGGTGGTGGCCGAGAGCCAGGGACACTCGTGGCTGTTAGAGCTGAGGTCTCCAGGTGTGGTCTGAGTGTAGTAGCCTTCCTGCTCGCAAGCCTGGGCTTAGCTGGTGTATATCCTGCTTCAGTTGTTTGTATTGTAGGGGGGGAACCCGCATCCACCATTTAAATTGCATTTTGACTGACAGTTTTAACAGCATTTTGCGACTTACTGGACGTAACTCACTCTGCTGTAAAAGTCTATTAAAAGACTGCGGAATCCCTGGTGAGAGCTGTGATCCCGCTCGTCCAGCCTCTTTCCAGGGAAACGTGGATTCTGCTGGACCAAATCCCTGACTGGAAGTAGGGAATAGCCTGGTGTGAGGAACTTGGGGTGAGCTGTAGCTTATTGAAGAGGTACTTGAAGTTGTGTGCTCCTAAGTAAGAGCAGTTTTTTTCCATTGTTATAGGTGGTAATAAAACCAAGTAGTTGTCAAGCTTTTGCTGCGATAAATTGAGGACATGTCTGTCTCTTTCTGGATTAGGCTGCTGTAGCGGAGCGGGTTACTTTGTCATAAAAAGCCTGCAAATTTAATGCAACGGGAAGGTGAGATGCTTTGAAATGTAATGGGATATTTTTAAAGATCCTCAATCCTTCTAAACAGAGTAATATAATTAGTTCGCTAATCGGTGCCGACTGTGGAAGTCGGTGAGAACAGATGAACAGAGAAATCCATCGGGGCAGGCGTGGGAAGCGGTGAGCTGAGAGCACAACGTGGTCCAAAACCGAGTGCTTCTGTTATAGCAGAGCCAGAAGATCCTGCCTTAACTCCTGAGCTCAGCTGCGGTACGGACGCTACGCAGACGAGCGAGTGATGGACTCTGTCCTGGAGAACTCGCGACCGAGGGCAGTGAAGGCGCAAGGAAATAGTGTTGGTCCTGTGGGGGTTAAGATGGGCAAGAAAAATTTGCAATTTGCTGTTTGAACCCACGTCCAGTTTTTTAAGGAGATTATTTCTAAAACTGGGCATATAGGAAGGGTTGAGTGTGGAAATGAGAATGTCAGTAGGGTTCTTAAGAACAAAAGTATGAATAATATGTTCTGGTTTGGCTAATTATAGCTTTTTGTTTTGAATTAAAGATGCAGCCTTACTAATGGCTTCTATTTAAATGAAAACAGTGTCTTTCAACCTAGCTGTTTTGTAGCAGCAGTGTCCATTTATTTGTTCCTTCTAACACTGGAATTAATGACTTCTCATCTGCTGCTTTACTGTCCTTTTAAACTTGCTTATAAACAAGGTGATGTATGTCCCGGAGTAGAATCCTTTGGGATAACAGGCGTTGAATCTTTAAGCAGGTATCATTACGATACAGGTAGCTGGTCTAATGATTTAGAAGGGACATCTCAGGGCCCCTCTCTCTTCTGCTTAGCGCACGGGTACATCTGACGTTTGTTGCCCATCTTCTCTTTACTTCAGAGACATTGCCGGGCATCTTACTTTGCCTCCGCTGTGAGTAGCGGGGCTCCAATACACTTTTAAGCCCAGTTTTCTCCTGACCCCATAATGTTCTCCTCCCACCCTTCTTTTTCACTTTGCAGAAGGAAATTCCTGTTTCATGCTGCTATGGCTTAATTAAACTGAGAGGGCTCTGCGGGGTTCTGGCGGCTGTTTAGCACAGAGCTTTGCTGGCCTGTGTGATCAACAGTTTTGTTGTGAGTGGTGATCTAACCACTTCCAGCAAAACTTGGGATTCTTTTTTTTGATGTACCGGTAGCCTTGATGAGTGCAGGGATGTGATCCTTCAAAAAAAGAAAAAAAAAAAGTTGGGCCAGGCGGATAAGCGTGCGATAAGGATTGGGGTTTTGAGGCCGCGTAGGCTTTCCTTGCTCTGTGGAACCAGCCTTGGTCTGTGACAAAGAATGTTAAGTGGGAAAGCGAAAGAGCAGCTGGTTTGATATAGTGTAATATTCAAGGACTTCAGGCATCAGCGTAGCTGTGGCAGGGTTTCTTGTGTGATGTCGTGTTTTGTGCGGGTAAATTACTGTGAATTCTGGTCTGCTCATCAGTGGTGGTTGTGTGGTGCAAATCTTCCTTCTGTCAGAGCTCACCCAATTGGACACATCTCTCTCCTTTGTTTTTTTAATCACCTGTATGCCAAACCAGATTTAATTAGCAGCTTTCTAACTGAATTACTGAACTTTGGGGTTATAACGAGCCAAATGCAGAAGCTGGGGATTGACTTACTTTACAAAAACAGTTTGGGGCGAGTTTCAGTATCTCACAGCCATCTCGCTAGCTGGGACCAGGCAGCATCCTTCAGTTCCTGCAGTTGTTTATCTTAAATGATGTGAGCGACTCCTTTGAGGATCAGCACAAAGCAAACAACAACTGGGATATCACTCTTTCTTTCCTCACCTATTTCTTTGTTTGTATTCTGTGCCTTTTTTAGGCAGATTTTTTGAAAGGATTACCAGTCTACAACAAAAGCAACTTCAGCAGATTCCATGCGGATTCTGTATGTAAAGCCTCAGTAAGTATTGCCACATCCTGGTGCTTTGGGGGAAGGTTTTCTTGCAGGGCTCAAGGGATGCTAGAGTGAAATAAAATTGAAATGAGTATTTTGTTTCTTAAAAAACATGTATGATCGCACAGTTCATGAGCTGAGATTGGCAAGGAGAACTTCCTGCTTGCTTTGGTGAGGAGTGTCCTCACATCAGCCAAACCACGTCTGTAGTGCTTTCTTTATGTATACATTCTTTAATAGTAGTCTTATTTCCTGAAAAACATATCAAAAATGGACCTTCCTCTTTATATGTGTGTTTTAAAAAGCTGTAGCCGCACAGTGTCACGTAACAGGGCAGAATATCACAAAGCATTTGTAGCCTGCATTAATAAGGGCCTTTGGGTTGGTTTAGCTGTGCTTGGGTTAAAAATCACCTTTTTGCTATCTTTGTTCTGTAACTGTTTTAATTCTTGTACAGAATAGAAGACCATCGGTATATCTTCCCACGAGAGAATATCCGTCTGAACAAAGTAAGTCTGCCCCGCTAAAGTTTTTTTTTTTTTTAATAACTGTATTCTGTGTTAATATTAAAAATCTGGCATACACATAATCTCCCTTATTTTAAACTTCAGATAAGGTGACGTTATTGAAGCGTCACCACAGTGATTAGCAGGATACGTCTAGTTACTGGGTTTTGTGCTTTTCCTCTATCCTTGCTAAGTGAGCGGTGTTCCCGCATATTGTCCTTTCATTAAAAAGGACCATGCTTAGTATGTGAAGTAATGTGGTGGTTACTGTATCATTTTAAAAGCAGTCTCTAAAATGACCTCCGTATGTTTCTCTCTTTTTTTTTTTTTTTTTGGCAGTCATAGTAACAGAAAAGACAAATATACTTTTGCGTTATTTACATCAGCAGTGGGACAAAAAGGTATGGTTGTGTTTCCTTAATATGAACATTTTGTCTTGATTTACTGACTGGGGCTAATTGAGCTGAATATTAATCGCAATCAAAATACTGAAGATTAATTGAAAAAAGTGCGAACTCCAGCAAAATGATAGCGCAAGGCTGCTCTGTCTCTGCACAATGCTTCTTTATAAAAAAACCAAATAACTTTTTCTTCACTTTCTGTGTAAGGGACATTAAGTCAGTGTTTAGTCTAGAACTTGGGAGTCTGCAGTTACATTGCCTGCTTACTGCAGTTTTCTCTTGTGACCTTGGAAAACCGGTCTCCCCGTGCCTCAGCATCTACTTTACAGCTAGGGTAAAGCTTCTCTTACTTCCCAGCACTGTTGGGAGAAGACAGATGAGCTTGTACAGAATGTGAATGCACTAATGAGGCTGTGTAAGTACCGTGGGTACAAAATCTGAGCTCTCCTGTGAGGAACACACCAATTAGTATGCTCTAGCTAGCGTTTGAGACTAGGAAACTGGGGTACCTGGGTTGGGAGCACTCGGTGCAAGGCGATGACTTAGGAGTGGAGACGTTGAAGCACCGAGTGTAATTACAGGCAGAGCAGAGGTTGCAGAAGAAGGTGGAGAGAGGTAAAATTATCAGGAACCTTGAAGCTGAAAAGGAATAATTTGTATGTGACAGAAGGCTTTGGGATATTTTTGATAGGTTCAGGGACTGACTCAGAGCAGTGAGAAAGAGGATCTTACTCATGTTTATGCAATATTTGAGATCTATAAATAAAAGGTGCTGAGATCAATGGTGTTTTAGTCCCACCCTCAAATTTGAAGAACAATCTAGAAGGAGCACCTTTCGACTTTGGGCAAAATCCTCTGCAGCGTTTGTTCCAGTGTGTCAGTTAGGTCAGTGCATCCAAAAACTTTTGCAAATAAAAACTTGGTCTACCGACACTAGCCCCCACCGGAATCTTGGGCTTTGGAGAGTTTCACTGTGGCTTTCTCTGTCCAAACAGAATGCGGCAAAGAAGAGAGATCAAGAGCAAGTGGAAATAGAAGGTGAGAATTCGGCGCCACCACGGAAAATCGCTCGGACAGACAGCCAGGATATGAACGAGGACACTTAAACTCTTGGCTTTCTCCTCTACTACTTCGCAGGCGCTTCCTGTTTTGTCTCAAAGTGTGTAAATTTTGCCCCTTGCCCCCATCTCTCACCCCTCCACTACGCAGCCCAAACCACTTCTGACTTCATAGGAGCCAATGTATTTATTTTTTTTTTTTTTCCTCTCCATTTTTTATTTATGCCGTAAAACTTACGGAGCAGTGGTGGAACAATTCAGTAGATGATGTAGTATAACCTTAGTTCCTCCTTTCTAAAAATATACACTGTCACTTTCACAGGTTTTGTTGGATCTGTTACCTAACCAACCAGGTCTAGCTATGGGAGCCTGGGTAGGAGACGTGGGTTATTACAGAACCCTGCAGTGATGTAGGCTTTCCAATCCATCTACCCGTTGACGTATTACGAGTGGTTAACTCTTCTTTGGATGTGCCCAGTCCAGCCATAAGTGTGGGGCCTCACTATTTTCCTCAAATATTCTGAAACTGGCACTGCACTAAAAAAAAAAAAACAACACGTCATGGGTGTCATTTAGGGTTATGCTGATCTTAGCAAACGTGTTGTCAACTTGATTATACCAGTTGTGTTCTTTTGGTCTGTTCGGTAAGGGCCACGGTCATTTGGCAGCGTACGTTATCTCATGCATCAGTGGTCATGGAGAATTTGAGTGAAAGGTGTGTTGCTTTTGTTGCTCTTAAACTCTCACCATCTCTTGGTCTTGAATGGACTGATGTGTGCAACTTCTCCGTTGGAATAAAAGGATACTCTTAGCCTATCCTGAGTATTTGATCAACAGTGTATTTAAGCAACAGCTGATGGCATGGAGCTGGGTAGGCACCCTGCAGGCAGCGCCTGGCTGGATAAGTCTGGGAGCACCTCAGCAACCACATCTAGTTCTCCGTCTCAACTGCCGGCTCTGAATAATGGTACGTTGTATTTTCCTGCGATATCGACATGTCTGGAATGGAGTCCGGGACTTGGAGTTGACCAAAATGTGAGCTTCCATGGTCTCTGAAGAAGACCAATCTCTTTTGGACTGTGACAGTTCAGTGCCTGTTGCCTGTAACCCTTCACCGACTCTTCGATAAGAGCCAAAATGGAGACCCGTAAGTCGTCTAGGTGGGTTCAGAGGTTCAGAGACTAAAAGGAGACGAGCATCGTCACCTGAAGGGGATGGGAAAGGTGTAGCTTAGTAATGATGTCTTGTCTGCTTTAACGTAAGAAGCTGACTTCACACTGTGTTAGTTTAAATTGTTGCATTTATAGCTGTGTTTTTTCCTCGTCGACAAATCCTAAACACCATTTCAAGAAATCGCACGAACGTTTTTCTCGAGATCCTGGATAAGCCTCGTTCTGAGTGGCTGCAGTGGCCGCGAGCTTTGAGGGTTTCTGCTGTCCCTTTCTCCACGGCCTCCCTGTCCAACTGGGGGGTGCTGCATGGTCAGGTTTGGGGATGGAGGGAACACGAAGGGAGATAAACTGTTGCTGACAACCGTATGTTGTAAGGCAGAACCTTAGGAAGAGCAGGGCACAGCTCACGTTGCAATTCTAAATGTGCGTTAGGCACCAAGTTTCTGATGCAGTGAGTGAATTTAACTTCACGCTGAGTAGTTTAGAACTTTGTATCTGCCTCAAAAAAAGTTACCTTTTTGCTGTGGCAGTAATCTCCAAATTACTGGAATGTCGTCGAAAATGCCAACTGTGTTGGTGAAGAGAGAAGATACCTGGGTTTCCCTGTGATCTACTGGTGACTGCAAGAGGACTCCTCCCAGAGTTACGCTGTCGAAAAGTGCTTTTGTGCAAAGTGGAAGACGTTGACTGGAGATGCCGTGTTAGCATCTGGCCTCGCAGGGGTCATCTGAAGCCGAAACTGAAGGATCCTTTGAAGAGCTGTGAGGTGCCAAAAGAGGAAACGAACGTGCAGCTGGTGGTAAAGTGTGACCAATTTGTGTGTTTAGCAAAGCTTGAGAGCTGCAGCCTTGCAGTAATGTTTGTACAGTGCTTTAAAGTTGTAAAATGCTGTATAATTCTTGACTGATATGGCAAGGTTTGAGCTTTGCTGACTTCTCTGCTAGACAGAGTGATGTACTATTAAAGAGAGTTGGCAGTTCCTTCCTGTTGTAAACCCCCGTCTTTGTTCCCTCCGTGTCTTTTAAAAATGATCTTGTTGGTTATGGGAGCCTTTGAAATATTCCAGATATTTTTAGGAGGTAAAAGAAAGTTGCCTTTTTAAAGTAGTTCTGAAGTGACGGAGAAGCAAGTGTTCAAAGAGACGTAATTTTTAAGTGTCAGACTGGTTGGGTGTTGTTTTTTGGTTTTAGTTTTTTTTTTTTTCATTGGTGGCTGTGTACAAGCGGTATGGATTTCTGATACCCACAGTGAGTCTTTCTACATCCCATCCGATCCGAAGCGAGAGCTCCCTTCCTTCCTCCTCCTCCAACTTACTTTCCGTGCTGTTACTGGCTCAAGGGTGCTCTCCTCAAGCTATTGCACTTTGATCCTATATTCACGTCTGTTTAACACATGGTAAGTGTATCGGGTTTGAATGTTGCATGGAAGATCTTACTTGCCTAACTGTGACTTCCTGGTGCCTTAGTGCATTGAAAACAACAAAAAGTGTTTAAAAAAACAAACCCTGGGGTTTTGCTGACCGCACTGTTTGTATAATACCTAGCTCCTCTGACTTCCAACTCTTGTTACAAAGTGACTGAGATTTAATGACCCTCCGGGGGGTTTTTGTATATGTCTGCATAGCGGTATTTTTATTGTTTCTGTTACCGATGTATACTAAAGGTTTGGGGTTTTTAGTGAAAACTTGAGATATTTGTCAGAGATCAGAATTTTGTCTTTTAGTTGAATAGTGCATCTTTTCTCAAAAGTCAAAGGAGCAGAAATGTGTTTCTTGATATCAAGGGACGATGAGTCCACCTAGGAGCAGCCCCTTCCAGCAGACCGTCCTGTTTGCAGGCGTCTGTCCTGTATTACACAGCGCTGGAGCTTTCCCCACTGTGAGCAATTAGATGTGTGCTGGGTAAGTTTAGAATATTAAAAAGTTAGGCACTGCCTTTTTCTAACATAGAAACACACTAGTGACTGATGTGCAGGGAAACTGAAGTTTTAGGTTAATTCTTGATATCATACGATCACTTTTTTTAGGGGAGAGGTAGTAACAAAGAATACTCACCTAAGAGTTAGAGATGGGAAAATGTTGAAAGAAAGGACAGACTTTAACATGTTCTGTGGATTCGCAGCTGAGGGGGCAGGTGACGGCGTCTGAGCAGCAAAGTCTGTGTGTTTGCGTTCGTAGTCGACTCTTGGAATTTACTGAGACCGTTTATTTTGTCGGAGTATGTTCAGTTGGGTAACGTTGGCGCGTTCAGCTTTCAAGGTGTTTCTTCTTTCTGCCCTTGGAAGTTTTTTGAGCCCCTAACGAACGACGGCCTGAGCAACCCGCTCTGCGTGCGGTGTCGCCTGTGCTTTGAGCAGGCGGCTGGAGGTGATCTCCCGGGGTCCCTTCCAACCCGTAAACGCCGGGAAGTGCAAAACGCAGCAGAACTTGTGGCTGGGAGATTTGGTTTTGTAGGAAGCTGGCAAGCTGTGGAAGACTGTTAGCGAAGCTTGCGGAGTTTACAAGCACGTGCAAAAGTTTTTTGACAAGCCCTGAAACCACGTTGCACTACAAAGAGCAGCGAGCGGCGGGATGGAGACCCAGACTGGGAGGGGAGGAAGGGGTCTGCTCGGCTCCCCCTCTGCCTGACGCTGCCACTCGGCCTGCACCGAGGCTGGCGTGGGTCTGAACTCCTTACCGCAGGAGTATTTAAGGCGGGCAGAAGTTTTTAGATGTATTTCACTAACAGGATGCATTTAGAGGCGTTTCACTGCAAGAGGACAGGCTTTTAGAATATTTAGATAAGTTAAATCTGATTTAAAGAAGAAAAAAAAACAAACAAAGACTTGTTTTGTTGGCCTTGGCAAGACATGAAGCACCAGCAGCGTTCTGGTTTGGGGATGCGGGATGCGCGTCCCCGTGACGGTTGGGAGCTGGTTGCTGAGCCGGGTTGTGATGAATCCAGAGGATGCACTTTACCCGACCCCACTTTTCTGTCATCCTGGTAAACATGCCAAGCTGTTAGTGAGCTCCACGTGCGTGCGGCTGTTCAGGGTTGTACCGAGGGCTCCGTGTGGGGAAGGCTGTGAAGTTTGGAGTAGAATTGGCTGGAAAACGGGTTTCCTTCCCTCTCCGGTGCGTGCCTTATGCAGCAGTTCGGTTGTCAGTGTTTGGACTGTTTCCTGTGAGGCAAATTTTGAACATGCTGGACATTAATCTTAAAATTTTCACTCTGTACTAGGTAGGTGTACCTTCAAAGTTTTATTTTTGGCGAGCTCCTTGACGCTGGCCTTAAGGGCAAAGACTAAGCAGGAGTCTTGGATTTTTTCTAACACTGCAGCTATCGGCTATGTTACCGCTTACCCTTTCCTGGCTTCTCCGTATACCACTAGCTTAATTTTCTGGTTTTAAGATTCTTTTTTTAAAAAAAGACATGCATATCTATAATTGGAAAAGGGATTTGTTTTCCTGGATTAATGACGTCAGCCTGGCAGCAGAGGAATTGTGCGACACGCTGACCGTGACCAGAGGGGTTCCAGCTGATCTCTCCATGTCAGGTTTTCTCTTACATTTTTTTGATGCGTAACGGAGAGTGGGAAATCCTTTTCTTTAAAGAAGCGAGGGTTGCATTTACCTGAGAGGAGCTGAGGGTATTTTTGGGAGCGGTGCAGGGGATGTGCTGGCTGCTGTGCCCAGAAGGGAGTATTGCATCATGGCTGTGGTTAAGCACCGACTGACCTTCATGCCGTGCTGACCGCGCTTTCGGGTTTCTCTGCTGCTGGTTCACATCGTCCGTGCCCTGAGAGTGGAGAGCGTGGCCCCGGGGTCTCATCCAACAGCTGATCCGGGGTGTTTGCTGCTAGGAATCACCCGAAAAGGCTGAGTCAGCAGGCTACCCAGGTGGACTGGCTGTGCCAGCTGACAGTTTACTTACGGGTCTGATGGTTGCGTCCAGGCTACCCTAAATGACTTAACTGTCACAGCATCGGCTTGCAGAGCTCATCCTGAAATGCGTGTGCTGGCAGCCGAGTTATATTTTATATAAAAGACGTGTGTCATCTTGAGGGTTTCATGTCAGGGAGGAGAGAGGACTTTCTAGAACCTCATCTTTTTTTAACTACTGGGGAAAAAAACATCTAGATGTTGGAAAGACTGAACCTGGCCTGCGGGAAGGAAACAAGGGAATGAAATGCCAGCTTTCCGTTTCTCTTTAACACTGAGATTCTGTTTTTAAAGGCAAAACTTCCTTAGTGTGTCCCCAAATATGAAGAACTCAGGCTCCCTACGTGCATGATTTTAGAATTGGGTTGTTCTAGGAATTAAGCAAAAGCCTCGTTGGCAGTCTTAATGCTTTTTGAGGAGTCTGAGCGGCTTTAACCTTTGTGGTAGAGTTCCAAGTTTTGC